CCCTAAGTTTTAGGCTTTTAGGCTGAATGTCCGGGACGGGCCCTGCAGGGCCCGTGTGGCTACGCAGTATGCCACACACCCCCCTCCTTGAAGAACCGAGCTTACCTGCGAGGGCGAAGTTGTCTGTCTGAGGGAGGGACCGCAGTCCGGGTGGGAGGGGCTGGTCGTGAAGCTTCCTGAGCTAACCTCCGCTTTTCATAATGCGCGTAGATCAGCGGTGCGGATGCTTTCAAATCTGCGCCTGAAATCCACCGAGTGTCGTCGCGATCGCATGCTTTGAATGTGACTTTGTACTACCGCGGCTTGCTGCCGTACTTGCGATCGGAGATGACGCGGTCAACTTCCTGATGGTCATCCATAGAAGGAGGGTCCTGCGATCGTCGGTCCGAAAAGTCGTCGCTCTTGGTTGGCGTGTATGTTGCCAGTTTCGAGGCGTGGAAGACCGGATGGACCGTCACATGCTCTGGAATGTTGATCACAAATGAAGGGCCATCGGGCTCATCGCCCGCGGCTGCTGTCACAGACCAAGGTCCAAACCACTTGGGAAGCAGTTTGCGTGAAACATCCTGTTCCAGTGCAAACTCTTCCGCGGAGACCCAAACCAGATCACCGGCGCAGATGGGACATGGTACGCGACGCCTGTTGGCTTGCTGCTCATGCGGACTTGAACCTTTTGCATAATTGCGCGGGCTTGAGTCAGTAATTCCCTGTACTTCCGAACGGAAGCGAGAGAGAAGGCAGCGTCAATGTCGGCTGGTCGAGGGAGGAGAAGGTCGGCGAAGATCCGGCCTTTCCGTCCACCGTGGTGCAACTCGAATGGAGTCACGCCGATCGCCGGATGCACCGAAGTGTTGTAGGCGAACTCGATGTCGGGGAGGCGGACGGATGAGCGTACGAAGCATCATTTGAGCGGTTTGATGTGCCCGCTCCGTCTGCCCGTCTGTCTGAGGATGTCAAGCCGAACTTGGTTTCATTATTGTGCCGGACTGCTGCATGAGAGCAGTCCAAAACGCCGACATGAAACGAGTGTCGCGGTCGCTGACAATGTCTTCTGGTACATCGTGGCCACAAATCCAACCAGTGTGCAGGAGGCGTGCCAGCTCGGGAGCCGTGGAGTAGTACTTGCAAGGGAGAAAACGGGCGCACTTACTCAATCGGTCCACAACCGTGAGGATGTCGTCGTGCCCGAGCCGGTCGCGAGGAAACGGACCAGTGACGTCCATGGCAATGGAGAGACCGGGTTCCCATGGGATAGGCATCGGGTGTAACTCGCCGTAGGGATTGCGGTTGCGGGGCTTGCTGCATCGACAAACTTCGCAAGAGTCGCAATACCGAGTGACATCGGTAATGAGGTCGGGCCATCCGAATCGTTGTCGAAGCCGTGCAATAGTGCGGTTGACTCCGAAATGGCCAACGAGTCGTGAATCATGATACTCGCCGAGGAGGCGAGTCCGAAGACGACGGTCGCGTGGGACACATAGTAAGTCCTTGCCTCTCGAGTGGAGGAGCAAGTACCTGTCGGCAATGCGATAATGGCTGGCCGGGGGGTGATCCGAAGATGGTTGTGCATAGAGCGTGCCAAAGTCCGGATCAGACTGATATGCCCGGATGAAGTGTCGCTGAAGCTCCTCATCGAATGCGAAGGCATGATGTGTCATAGCGCAAAGATCAGGTCTTCTCGAGAGTGCATCTGCTGCGCGATTGGAGAGGCCGGGGACATGTTTCGGTGTGAAGTCAAATTGGTCGATGAAGTACATCCATCGTCCGATCGTGCTGCTCACCGTGTCCTGCATCTTCTAGTAGGTCAATGGATTGTTGTCTGTGACCCATGTGAACTACGACGCCCAAGGAGGAAGTGCCGCCAACGCTTGAGAACCATCACGAATGCGAGCAGCTCCTTCTTCCTTGCATCATCAAGCGAGTTGATGGGAGGCACTTTGTGGCTGAAATACTCCACAGGGTGCCAGTCGTCACCGTCGTGCTGTTCCAAGACTGCCCCAATGCCATAGCCRGAAGCGTCCGTAGTCACTCGCGTCGGCAGGGTGGGGTCATAGATGCTAAGGACGGGTGCCATGAGCATAACCGTCTTAAGCGCTTGGAATGACTGGCGTGCGTCGTCATCGAGTACGAATGGCACCTTTGGCGACTGTAACCTCGTCATAGGTGCAGCAATCTTGGAGTATCCGATAATGAATCGCTGATAGTAGCCCGCCAACCCCATGAATGAACGAACGTTCGCGGTGTTGGTGGGCTCGGGCCATACTCGTAGGGCCTCGATCTTGTCCGCAAGCGGACGGATGCCTTGCGGCGTCACATAGTGTCCTAAGTACTCCAGCTCCTGCTGTGCAAACTCGCACTTGTCGCGGTTTGCTTTGTACTTGGCTTTTCGTAGCCGCTCCAAAACGGTGCACAGGTGTTCCACACGCTCGTCCAAACTTCGACTATACACCAAGATGTCGTCGAGGTAGATGAGTACAAACCGATCCAGCATGTGTCGGAACTCCGTTATCATAGCCGCTTGGAAAGTGGCTGGGGCATTCGTAAGGCCAAATAGCATGACCAGCCATTCGAAATGCCCATACCGWGTCTTGAACGCGGTCTTGTAGCGATCCTCCTTGCGAATCTCGAGTTGGTGGTACCCTGACTTGAGATCCAGCTTAGAGAAGAACTGGGCGCCGCCCAATCGCTAGAGAAGGTCATCGATGCGTGGGAGAGGGCCGACGTTCCTGATCGTCTACGCGTTGAGCTTGCGATAATCGATGCACAACCGCAGGTCCTTGTTCTTCTTCCGGACGAAGAGAAGAGTTAGGCCGAATCCAGCCTTTCTCCAGAAGGTCGCCGAGTTGTGCCCGAGGCACACATAACTCTTCCTCGCTCATTCGGTAGATGCAACCGCGCGGAGGTACGGCCCCGTCCTCGAGGATGATCTCGTGGCGGATGGGTCGATCCGGTACTACTCCGTGCAGGCCTTCGAACACGTTGCTGTAGGCATCGAGAAGTTCGATGATGCGTGGATCCGAAGGTGAGTCCGTCGATGAAGCGTCATGGAGCGGGAGGGCGTGGAGAAAACACACCCCCATCTCCTCGATGTCGTCTCTGATGATGGAAGCTCGCATGCTTGCGGCGGATACCACGTGGCAGCTGATCGAAGGATGAGGAAGAGGTACCGTGCATGGAACTAATACTCCGTTCCGGTCACGAACGTGAACGGTGCGGTTGAAGAAGTTCACCGGGTGATCCTTGCTTTGCAGCCATGACATGCCCAAGATCATGTTGAATTTGGTGTCCAGAATGTCAAAGGACACCGCCTCACTTGCGTGAGGGGCTAAGTACACTGGGACGCTGTCAATGTACCAGTCGATTGACTTGCGCGTGTGACCGTCCGTCAATGTGACTTGCGTAGGCTGGGGCTTCCTCCGGACGCGTGGGCCAAGGCCGGCGCGCACCAGGAAGTCCTGGCTGATGTAGTTGCGAGATGCGCCACAATCGATCAAGGCTCTGCAGGTCGCCTCTCCGATCTGAATGCGTACGTATAGCAATGGTGTGTCGATGTCGTCGTACCGTTGCGTCTTGAACTCGCGGTCGATCTTCGCGATGTAAATGTGAAGGTCGACAACCTCTACTCCGGCGTCCATCAACGGAGTCGGTACTGCAGTGTGCAAGTAATCTCGCAGTTGTGCCATGAGCACATTGCAATGCGGTTTCGGCAATCGTCCGGTCGGGGGAACGGGCATCCACTGGAAGTCCGTGAACGTCAATGGGTCGAGCACCTCAAGTCTTGACCA